AACTGGATACATATTTAAAACTGATTATTTAAAATATTTTAACATCAAACATGATTCAACATGATTAATTTTAAATAAACACTTTGCAAAATATGGTAATTTTTAAAAAAAAAATAGATTTTAATAACTTGGTGACTGGTAAACTTTAGCTTTTAAGAATTTTAGTATCTAAATGAGTTTTGTTAATATTCTGCAGACATTTACCAAAATGGTGGCCTATATTTTCCATTTCCTTTTTAATGTTAATTCCTGAGGAAACCTTCAAACCTTCAGTTCATGAGGGTCACCCCCTTTCTTTCATCTCTTCCTGTGATCAGTTTCCTACAAATCCTTTTCAACTACTCCTGAAAGTAAAAGCATTTAGGGATATCAGCTCTGAGAGGGGCACAGAACATGGTTCAACCTGTAAGATTAACTTTCTATTTTATATCAGATTCTTTATCTCCATATCCAGTTCAACACTACTATACTGTGAGCTCCTTGAAGCTATATTTTATTCATATTTGTAGTCTTTAATAGCTTAGGCCAGAACTGGCACACAGCAACCTCTCAATAAATGTTTTATGAGTAAATCAATGGGTGAACATATTTTAAGACTATTGAGTAGATTCACTTACAAATTCACTCACTCTGAACAGTTTAACCACTCATTGAAAATTGTTCCCAAATCTTGGTTTTTCAATATTATGATAAGTGCTTATTATACATAATTTTAATTATAATGGGATTATAAAACAAAATGTATACTTTAAAATTATGCAAGTATGAATTTAACATTGCATGACTTCAAAATGGAAAAGATAAAAATATGTGAGGTGTAAATTCACCAGGAAAAACCTAACGTTCCAAAGTAGCTTTTTAAAAGATATACTTTGAAAGAAGAATAAGCAATTATTGGAAAAAAAAAATTTAATTTTCCACTTCCCCCAAAACTTCAATTTTTTCCCTGCAAGTTAGTCCTTGATTTTCTGCACAGCGTTCGTAGACATGCTGTAAGATATGGCCAGAACTGCTATCCTTGACAAGGCCTCCCTTTCTCTGTGAAGAGACCCTAAGCTTGGCCTATCAGACTTTGCCTAATGAAGTGAATCCCAAATAGCACTTAACTAGAGTAAAGAGGTATTTCACTAGGTGTTTTTTTTCCCCCTATTAATCTAGTTGGTATCAGACAAATAGGTATTTGCTTTTCCTAAAACTATTTGGTACTGTAAATAAGGCAATTCAAGACAAACATGGTGCATTAACTTTAGGTATATATTGGCAGAGATGAATCCAACCAGGATCATCTGAGAAAGAGGGGCTGTACTGAGAGTGGGTATTCAACCTACCCAAGAAAAGGTGAGCAGGAAGAACATGAGTCCATATGAAAGCAGAGGCTGGATAGAAAGAGATATTAACAGTAAGCTCTCTGGGATGAGACTAAGTGTAGGAGGAGAGAATTATAAGAAAAGCTAACATACATAAGCTATTAATAAAAAACATTATGTCAGGTATTCTATTAAGTACTTCGTTATATAATAATTCTTATTAAAAGTTTTCAAGATAGGTATCACTACTCAAATTTTAATAAAAAATCTCTCAGCAAAACTAGGGAGCAGGACACAATTGGGAAGTAATAGCTACAACACGTGTAATAGAAGATTAATAGCCAAAATACATAAAAGAGCTCCTAGAAGTCAATTAAAAAAAAGTGTTGCAATGGAAAAAACACACAAGGAAAATAAATTTTGTAGAAGAAATACAAAATTGACAAATGCAGTGAGGATGTCAGAAAATAGGCACCATTGTACATTACATTACATCATCATAAGTGGCTAAAACCTTTAGAGGGCAGTATGTCAGTATTTACCAAAATGAAAATGTGCATATTTTGCTGTAAATTCATTCCTAGGAATCTAACCAAAGGAGATACTTTACATTTGCAGTAAAAAACATGTACTGAAATATAACTTATATATTACTTGTAATGTCAAAAATTTTGAAAAAATCTGTACGTCCAATAAAGGAGTACATTAAATTATGCTACAGCCACACAAATTGACTGTCAACTTGTTAAAAAGAATTATTTCATCAAAGTTTACTGATTCTTCACAATTATATTACCGAAAGAAAAACTTGTACAAAACCTTA